TGAATTGTATTAGTCTTTGTTTTGCCTCTACTTTCGTGTGATATTTTGTGGGCTGGGCTGTGGTACGTTGCTCTACCGTTACGGGCCCTCCCTGGGGTGTGGTGTTGTGTTGCGTGCCGATAAGTTGTTTGTTTTGGGCTTTGTTGTGTTTTTGCTTCTAAGGTCCTGAGGAGACAAACGAAGCGTTTGCATAATTGGCTTATTATTGGTTTCATCCACAAGACTGGGGTTTAGGAACGGCGCGGCTGCTTTCTTGATCTGCGCCGCCGCCGCACCTCGTCTGCGTCTTTTCATTCGTTTTCTGCTTCTTGGCTGTCCTTTTTTCTTTTCGTTTATTTTCTCTTCACGATTTCGCGTCCTTGCAAATATACACCCACATCGCGTAGCCCTGGGGGCATCAGCGGCGCCGGTGCGGCTCGTCTTCTGGATATGCCCAGCGCCCGACCTTCCCCGCCCGCGTGCTTCGTCTGCCTTTTACCTTTTTAAGAAATGCTGGTGGCTTCGAGAGCGGGATGGGGGCCCTCCTGGGCCCCCGGGAGTCTGTGCGGGTTGAAGGCGGCGCCCCAGCTGCTGTTTCTGTTGACGCTATCTTTTCTCGTGGCTGCTCATCGAGGCGTCGTGAGCGCTACAGATGCAGAAGAAGGTTTACAGACGGATCGTCGGGTATATTCGGAGGAGCAGAAGGCCAGGGCGGCTGCTGATCAGAAGGCAGTTATGGATAGCGGGGCGGTTCCGCTGTCGGAAGCTTCGTACAGCGAGTTCATGGCTGCGCATCCCCTGGCCTTAGTTATGTTCTACGCGCCATGGTGCTACTGGTCGCGTTCAGCTCTGCCTGAACTGGATGCAGCAGCGAAGCTGCTTTCGCATCACTCGCCCCCGGTTGTCGGTGCAAAAGTCGACTGTACAGACAACGAAGACCTTTGCAACCAGGAGTACATTCGGGAGTATCCAACGATCAGGCTATACGTTGAGGGTGTAGGGCATTTGTACGAAGGGAGGAGGTANGACGGCAAAGGCAACCTGGAAGACGGACACGTAGTGGTGGTAGCAGCCTTCCCTCCTGATTACAACCGAGGCGGCTTTCAATCAGTCGCACGGGCCTTTGGGGAGGAGGTTTTGTTTGGGGATACCTCTGACCCCGAGCTGACAACGAGGTTGGTGGATAAGCACGTCCTGCCGCGTCTCCCCAAGAAGGAACGCAACAACAGCGAGATGTCTAGACAGCTAAAGCCTCCCTTTGTTGTGGTATTTGCGCCTCACAAGGACGAGCCCGGCGTGCATATCTATAAGGGTCCCGTGGGCGAGGTGAAGGAGCTGCGCTCTTTCGTTCGGCAGTGGCTGTTTCCTGTTGTTTCTTTGTTTGATTCGGACAGCATTGGCAGCAGCTTTTTCAGTGACTCGCGGCCCAAGTTTCTGCTGCTTCTGGATTCAAACAAGCAAAAGGGGCAGCTGAAGGAGGTGGGTAGCGCCAAGCCGAAGGACCCACTGCTTGCTGCCTTCCGCGCGGTGGCTGAGAAGCACCGCATCTCAGTTGCTGCTGCCGTTTCAGGGAACAGCAAGAATTTCGAGAAGCAGCTACTGAACCTTCTGGGGATCGAGGATGAAACGCTGCCCCAAGTGCGAATCATGCAGGTTAGCCGCAACCAGGAGGGGCCCCAGCAACCGGCAAAGAAGTTCAGACCCTCCTCTCCTCTCCCTCCAGCGGATGAAGGGAAGAAAGCTTTAGAAGATATGATGGATGCCTTTGTATCGGGCGTGCTGGCGCAGACGCTGCCCCCCTATTTCCGGTCTGAGACCCCTCCAGACACCCCGGAGCCCAAGGGCCGCGTGAGAACCCTGGTGGCATCGACATTTGCGACGGAAGTTCGCAAAGAAGCCAATGTACTTGTAGAGTTTTATGCCCCCTGGTGCGGGTTCTGTCGCAAGATGGAACCCGCGTACAAGGAGCTAGCGATGCGCGTCGCGGGGGTGTCAGGTCTGCTGATCGCCCGGATCGATGCAACGCGAAATGAAGTCGAAGGCGTCGCCATCGCAGGATACCCAACCCTTTACCTGTACAGAAGGGGGGAGAAAGAACCGCTCCTGTACGCGGGAGACAGAAGCACGCGAGACATGCTCAAGTGGCTCAGTCTTCGTGTACGTGGAACATCGCCCTTTGATGTAGAAGAACTCATGAGCATGGACATTGCAAACCCCGACAAGGCTGCCGCCTCCGTCCTCGAGGAGCTCTAAACATAGATCAATTAGGCGACCTCAGTGCAAACCGCTGCTGCTGCTGCCGCCGCACAGGCAACAAGGCGCCCACTTGCAACTGATACTGGTGGAGAGAGAGACGGGAACTACCTCCACTGTCTGGTTTACTGCTGCATGTGGCGCGGGGAACGCTTCCCTTGCCGCCAGGGGGCGAGTAGGGAAGGCTGTTCCATGACAAGTTTGCGTGCGCTGTTCGGTTGCTCGAGGTTGCGTTTGGCAGATGATAATTGGGGTGTCTGTACAGCGTAGTGAGTGCCTCCGCACCCAAAATAACCTGTATCTTGAGACATACTGCCCCCAGGCATGTTGTTGGCGAGTCGGCTGTCTTGTCAGACAAATGGAGCCCTCCTTGTAGTTGGTGAATGAGGGAGGGGAGGGCCCTCATGTGTATAGGGAGGGCCCTGCAGTGTATAGGGAGGGCCCTGCAGTGTATAGTGGGGAATCTTCCAATAAACTGCGGCATTTATCGCTTGCCTAGTTGGGCTTGCTCTAACTAGGGGGCCCCTTCTAAGGGTTCTTCTTTTGTTGGGTGGGTACGAAAGCTAAGAACTGCTTCTTCCTGTCTGCCTCGCTCACCCCTAGCTGTGCTATTTCATGTGTCTGTACACTCTAGGCGGCCAACGTCCACTAGACACCGCAGCCCACCGGAGCCCAGCGGAGCCCTGGGCTCATAGTAGGACAGCAGTGAAATAACTAGTGATTAGTGTTTGTCCCTGCTCTCCTTACTGACGTCTCAAAGGGGCTTCCAAGGCACATGCCCAGAGCAGGGGGCCCCGCTGCCGTGGCACGCGGTGTATCCAGTGGATATCCTTTGTACAGCAAGAAAAAGCCTGTTCACTATCTGGCATCTGCCGTGCTCTGGAGGGGCCCCAGGGCTCAAATATGTTAGACCTACTACACGCACGAGAAGTGCAAACAGAAACGTGTTCCGTTGTAGCAGCGAACACCGAGACATTCGCCGGCACTCCTGTTACGCTGTCTGTCCGTACACCTCACTTCTGAGGGTTTCTATCGCGCACTTGATGGAATTGTCGCTGCAACAGTGTGGCAGCCCCCACATGCAGCTAAAACAACTTGCTCGCCCTCCCCTACGGCGACCTCGACGGGGGCGTCCCTTGACGCTGCAGGGCTCTCTATGAGCCCCCCCCTGCCCAGCTGGCCTTCTCTGCCTCTGCCCCACACAAAGATTTTCCCCTTTCCGCACAGCGCAAGACTGTGCCCCTCTCCCCCACTGATCTGCGTACAGCGGCCTCCTGCAGGCGTCCCAGATGGGCCCCCAAAGTCTACCTGTCGGGGTAGGGAGACGTCGAGGTGCGTCGGCTCTGCGCACTGCCCGTCCTTGCCGTATCCCCACACAAAAACCTTCCCGTCCTTCGTTAAACACAAACTGTGCTGCGCGCCGCAAGCAACTGCAGCCACCTGCTGGTCTTTCAAAGCAGAGACAAACTGGGGTGCCTCCACCGTGAGGGCCCCCCCCCCTAGGCCGAGCTGTCCATAGAAGTTGCTTCCCCACGAGTACACAAACCCCCTTTCGCTAAGCACCACACAGTGGCTCTCTCCACATGCCACGGCGACAGCTCGCGTAGGGCCCGCCTCCTCGGCCGGTAGCGGCACCAGGCGAGGCTCGTGAGGGGCAGGGCATTTCCCGTGGGTACTGTAGCCTCCCAGGGGCCCCCCTGTCCGTGCATCGCCCCAGACAAAGACATTCCCGTCTGCTGTAACTGCAGCGCACATACGCTCCCCGCAGGAGGCCCCCACTATCTTCTGCGTTGCCAAAGGGCCCGCTACCTTCCCAGGAGGCAGCCAAGAAGACGATTGCGCCCGGCCCCCGAAGACATCCCGAGCACCAGGGCCCTTAAAAAAGGAGTTGTCCGCCTTGGGCTCCAACTTCTGCTGGTTCGAGGCCTCGTGGAGGGGGCGGCCGCACTGCCCGTGGCTGTTGCTCCCCCAGGTGTACAGATACCCCATCTCCGTAACTACGAGAGAGAAGCCGTTACCGCAAGAGACAGAAACCGGCCTGTCCCCCTTCTGCAGCGGCAGCAAAACCTCCCTGGGCCCCTCAGCAGCGGAGGGGCCCCCGGAGTCTCCTGCAGCTCCTCTCCCCCACGAGAAGACACGGCCCTCCGACGTCACGCAAGCAGAGTGGCGGGACCCCCCTGAAACGCTGATGACTGTTTCCTGGGGCCTCAGGGGCAGGGATGAAAGCAACACAGGGAGAGAAGCAGACAGCGCTGAGCCAACGCCCACCTGCCCGTCGATGTTGGAACCCCACACGTACACGTGAGACCCCTTAGGGGTCGAACAGGTGGCGCAGTGTGCAATTCTACTGCTGCTGGCGCTGCTGCTGTCTGTTCTGCCCTGGCAGCTAAGGGCACACACAGCGAAACCTGATGCGGCGACAGCTATGACTATCCCATCTCGTATGCTGGGCCGGGGATGGACACGGGCGGCGCTGGTGCTCGGACCATTGCTGTTGCTGCTCTTCTGGGTGATGCTGCTGCAGCTATTGACTCTCTGCAAGCGCCTGGGAGCTAATCGCAAAGGGGCTGCCACAATGGATAAGCCTGAGCGTCCGTTTGACTGAGAAGGCTGCAGGAAGTTCCAGACCATCTGGAGCCGAGGCATACTCCTGCGGCCGACGCAGAACCCCGATTTCCGTGCTGCGGCGGGAAGTACCATCGCGTTCAGCTCTATTAAGGGTTTGATGTTTAGGGTTAAGTGTTTAGAAGGGATTTAAAAATATGGTGAACTGAGCATAGGGTGCGCTATAGCGAGCGGGAAACTTGTTAGAGCTAATCAAGGGCCCTCCCGACCCGAGATGCCATGGAGGGCAGTACATGAGAAACTAGGGCCGCCTGGCATTTCCGACATGTGCCTCGTAAATAAGAGTAAGGATTTCGCCATATGAGGTAAAACACGTGTCGCAATGAATGGCTGAGAGAGAGTCGAGCCACCGCTGGTGTTTGGGGCTGGACGCTGCATTTGTGNCGTGTCGCAATGAATGGCTGAGAGAGAGTCGAGCCACCGCTGGTGTTTGGGGCTGGACGCTGCATTTGTGCCGTACAATCCAGTGTGGCATATTCCTTAAAAGATATATCTCAAAAAAGAAATTCCCATAAACGATAGCGTGACTGGTTACCCATACGCGGCTGGCTCGTTAACAAAAGATCCAGGGGGCAGCCTGAGGCTGCTTTCACGATGTGATTTGTATGCTTGTTGAACAAAGCTTATGAGTTGCGGTGGAAGTCTTCCTAGCCGAATCACTTCATCCAGCTGATGCTGCACTTATATAGGCAAAATATGCACCACGGGTTGCCTTTAGGCAGGAGCATGCTTTATCCGAAGCTGAAACATCCATACTTGGTGGCAGGGTCTCATTGTCTACAGTGTAAGGTAGGAGATGCAAGATAACCCTGGGTGCAAATATAACCAAGTCCCCCTTGTTGCAGTCACAAACACTGTAAACAATTGTTAAACGTACAATGAAGACAACTGTATACCTTGCAGCACTAGTTTCAGCGCGCGACAAGCTGCATTGTATATTATAACATTCCGCCTCCTCACCGTACCAATCCGCAGGCCCTTGACCCGTTGTGCCCAGGACGCTTCGGGACTGGGTGAAATTTGAGATGCACTTCTTCTGAAACTACTGTCCCATATCTTTGATTCTACTGCAGCTCTCGATGCTCCTCGGCTGAGATCAGGGACCTCTCTTATCCTTATAAGCACTGCATGATTTAGCGGGGCAGGAGCTGTAGCCATGCCTACCCAAAGTAAGCACAGAAACGTTCACTCTGCCTTGGTAGGCTGCCTGCAAACAAATGCCAATGTTCAGTGTCTACAGAGATAAACCCTGCACCGAAGAAAGCTTGGTTGTGCTTGCTTGTGAGGATGTCTGGCATCAATAGTTGCAACGAGAGGCGTTGCAATTCGTCTCAGCCCGCCTCCTTTCCGGCGACCCCAGGCCCTCTGTTTCAGCGCTGTGAACGCCTAGAGACAAAGGAAGAATGCCGGCTGTCTTTAGGAATATCTTACTTTACGTTTTTGGTTTCACTGCAGCTTGTAACTCGCGACAGTCCTCGAATACGGCCGTTACAGGTGCTAGCAGCGACTTCCCCCCTATACAGTGAACACATTTTGCACCTACCATGGTAATTTGCCCAATTTCATATTTAAAACCACATTTTACATCCATATTCTTGCCGATTCTCGCTTCCCTCCTGCCGCCCGCAAAACGTAGCACCGGAGACTTCTGCAATGCGTAGATAGTTGTGAGAAACTCCCCTTCGGAAGGGTCAGTCTAAGGGGAATTTGGAGCCTTAGGTATCATGTAGCCCTCGGAACTTGATGCAACCCAAGTCAGTATATGCGCCAGTCTCTTTCATCTGCGTTTATCTTGTCGTGGGGGGCACAAGACGCAGAGCTGCTGGCAGATACTGGCAGAGACTGTCAAACACAATTGTGAGGCCTAGTAGGGATCTAAGCTCCTTTGCGCGACGAGGTTATGCGAATCCATAACACTAGAGGTACTGCGGGCCCTGTAAGCTGATGCGATGTGGGGAGAGCCCTCCGTCCCTCACATGCTATGCTGAGATCTGTTCAAGATAACTTAGAGTTTTTTTCTCTAGTATAAGTACTTGCAGTTAGCTTTACGTATTACTAGGTTGTATCTCTGAAGGACTACTGTGGGGCGCATCCATAGAACCCCACAGCTCAGTATAGCGAGCTGGCAGGCAATAACTATCATACTGAAACAACAACATAACAAACTAGCAAAGGTTAAAGGAAATTCGTTCTCTCAGTTTCTTATCCAAAAATCGTTCTCTTCTGCAATGCCACTAGAGCAAGCACTGCGGCGTTTGTGGCTGGGAGAGGAGACGGTGTAGCATGTTGCAATATCTTTTGCACTAAGGTTCATGCCAGCCTCTCCTATAGTCATATCAATGCTCACTTCATAAAGAATGTTCAATGCATTCGCCAATGTTATACTCAACGTAGACCAATAAGCACTCACAGACACTTCCACTGTCCATACAACCGACGCTCATTTCACAACGTGATCGTAGTGAGTATTCACTACAATAGTTAGGCTACACCTCTTCGCCACGGCCTCTGGTATCAGATCCACTTCGCCTCCATTAGCTAGGAGCATTGGCAAGTCCTAAACGCGAACACAAACCTGGAGCAGCACACAGTGGAGTCTAAGTGGTTATGTTGATGCTGTTGTCATCACCTTCTGCCGGATCTCTGCGCCACGCGTTGCGTGGGGGCCCGACCGCTTCCCTGATCATTTTGTTTGCTTGTCTGTCTGCGCAGCGCGAAGTCTAGCCTCTGCAATTCCCAGGATTTTTCTTCATGCTTCTGTTAGAAGTACGTGACCCTGTCTAATGCAAAAGAAACAGATGCTTGGCTCTATGCACCCTTCCGGATTTCTGCGTGTCAAATTCAGTAGTTGCTCTCGGTTACCGCCTCTAATTCCTCTCCGCGTTGGTCGGGTATTCACAACCTCAATATCCATAGGTTTCGAATCTGGGTCATTTCCAAAATTTTTTCGTCTCTCATTTAGGACTGTAGATGCGGCACTTTTTCCTTATTTCATGGAAGGCATTCCATCATCTCATGGAGTTCTACCCTTACACCTCCTTATTGCCCTGTCTGTCGTCCAGCTGGTTTCCGATCGCCTCTCTCCTGGGGGCAGCCTCGTTATGAACCAGTGATAGAGCAGCGCCCGGTAGCGCATGGGATTTCTGTTCACCAAGGACTGATACTTCCGGATGTACCTCTCTCTAGAGAGCCTTGCTTGCTTACGTGTTCTCTGTGCTGCGACAGCATGCTTCTTGGGTGGCTTGAGAATAAGTATGCATCGCAGCGCATCTCGGGGGGATTGCACGGACCTGAAGTGTCCCAGGAAAGCAGAAAATTTGCTTATCACCACAGTCGCACGTCGGCTTCTAGTAGGGAAGATGCCAATTGGAACAGTATCTATTCCTGTGCGTTTTGAAGACGATGGTATGAGGCGAGGGAATGCAGGAACTTATGAACTGCTTGGGGCGGCCGTCATATCTGGGTCATCGGCAGCATCGGAGTCACTACTCCTTAATTGTTCCTGATGGAAACGCATTTGACACCGTAAGGGGTACATATGTCGAGCTAGGTGCAACTCGAGGAGGCTCCTGACTGTACGTCTCCCCCTCGCTTTTCCCCGCCGGCGGCCCTTCTCCCCCCATGAGGGCAGGTCATGATCAAACTTCATTATGCAGGGGAAAATGACGGATGTATGGGTAAAGATTTTAGAAAGAATTATGAGGATTTGTTTTGCTGCGGCACACTAGGTGGCCCTCCTGCAGCCTGGTGGGTTTTTTTGCTCCCACTTGCTGCAATGACCCATGCTTTGCTACCAAGTGAACCGAGACTCCTCGGGAATATTCGAGGACGGTCGCGAGCTGCAAGGGAGCAAAAAGAGTTAAGGTAGGAGATTCCTACAGCAGGTGGAGTCCTGGCAGCAGAAGCTCATCGCCCGAGTTTGCGGTGGAGGAGGCGGTCTGAGATGATATGCAGCGCACTTCGCTCCAACTGATGATGTAACAAAGCCTCAAGCGGAAGCGCAACCCAGCTTTCTTTGTTGCATGCAACATGCCTGCGGTCACTTTTCAAGCACTTGCATTTGCTTGCAGGTAGTCTACCGATTTCAAGAGAATGTTCGCGTGCCAACCTTGGACAGAATAGTGCGCAATGCTACACTGTAGCATTGGTCGCTTGCAGTTAGCACAGGAGCCTCACTTGGTCTCGGTAGGTTGCGCGTTAAGCAAATACAAACGTTCTACAAGTGAGCCCAGAGGTGAAGCACGCAGCAAAGTAAGCTTCAGCAAAGTTTCATCGTGTACACCCGTGCGGCAGCCCTTTATCACCAGCCGCAGCAAGGTGCACTGCAACCCCACTTGCGGCAGCCTCCTTCCCACGTACACCCAGGCCCTGAGCTCAATTCCCAGGATGCCTGAAAAGAGGCGAAGGAGGTCGGCTGCTGCTCTTGGGAAACTCTTAGTCTAAGTCTTTACCTACACTGCAGCTCGCTTCTGCCCTTGATTAACTCCAGAGGGCAAGCGTTATATACACCATGCTACAGAAGGCAAACAATGCTCGCTTTCGCTGGTGGCCGAGAAAGTTGGACAAATCATATTCATAGGTTATCCCACACATCTTTCAGCAACAAGATAATGCGCTGCTAGTGACATCCCGCGGATTTCACACAAGCATCTCCACAGTTCAAAGATGCCCAGCTTGGCGGGGTGCTGCGAACTACGTCTGCTAGGTTGCAGNACAAGCATCTCCACAGTTCAAAGATGCCCAGCTTGGCGGGGTGCTGCGAACTACGTCTGCTAGGTTGCAGTGGCCTATAGAAGCACAGATGGAACCACTTCGCACTGAGATGACGTTTGATTGGGTAATTTTATGACAATCTGAGTTGAATTTCCTTTTGGGAAAGCCAGCGGCTATGCGGGGCTTCGGCTGATGGGGCTTGCCTGGGACGACGGGGCAGGGGCATCAGCCACTCCGCCATGTCCTAGTCCTCCATCGTGACTGCTGTGAAGGTCCGCATGTCTGCCCACAGCGCACTTTGTTGCCGGTAGGAAGCTTCGATACGGGAAGATGGCATTCGTCAAAGCAATAAAGAACAAAGCCTACTTCAAGCGCTTCCAGGTCAAGTACCGCCGGCGCAGGGGTAAGCTGCAGCTGCCTTGCCGAAACTGGCGTTCTCACTTCCGTTGTGTGGGTAGCATGGAAGTGTATCCGCGGGAAACATTCTGTTTACTCGTTTGTCTTCGGACGTGGTGCCGTCTTTGCTCCTGGTTTGGTGCTCCGTTCATCTGCATTGCCAGGGCTGCCTCAGCTGTGGGGAGGCTGCTGTTAGATGTTTTTGTGCGCATTCAGTCTTAGCCTAGTGCGAGAGTTTCCTGTTTATAATTCCTAGACGTGTTTTTTGTATTCTTCTTGCCTACCTCTTGCTCTTTGGGATCCAGAAGTAGACGTTCTGCATCTCTGCATTTGTATGTGGTCTGCATGTGGGCCCTACTCGATAGTGCGGTTCATTGTGTGTTACCATTCGATTTGACTGGNTGTATGTGGTCTGCATGTGGGCCCTACTCGATAGTGCGGTTCATTGTGTGTTACCATTCGATTTGACTGGCTTGCCTTTGCTGGATATTGGACTATGGTTGCATTTATCTTGCTTTCCGAGGGGCAGGGCGCGCGTGTGGCTGTCTCGGTGTCAACAAATTTGTTGCACTGAATCCTACGGGCGCAGACAAGCCCTTCGGCAGAACGACTCTGGCGACTCAAACCGACGCTCGATCCGAAGCGATGGTTTTTGGCCATTTGACAGACGAGCGTCGACCTGTCCACGCCAACAATCCTTTTTCCGTCTGTAGTGGTGCCTTCGGACCTGGCGAGTGGCGCCGTGCGCATGCTTGACACTTACGTGTTCTTGGCGTTTCTGCAGAGGGGAAGACGGACTATGCTGCGAGGAGGCGCCTGACTCTTCAGGATAAGAATAAGTACAATGCGCCGAAATACCGCTTTGTTGTGCGCGTGACCAACACGCGTGTCCTTTGCCAGGTGATGTACGCTACAATGCAAGGAGACCGGCTTGTATGCAGCGCAGACTCTAAGGAGCTTACCCGCTATGGAATTAAGGTTGGGCTAACCAACTACTCAGCTGCCTATGCAACCGGTCTACTCCTTGCTCGGAGACTTTTAAAGCAGGCAAGTTGAAGGGTACTAGGCATATGTTGATTGCGAATTTGGTTTGCGACNCTCGGAGACTTTTAAAGCAGGCAAGTTGAAGGGTACTAGGCATATGTTGATTGCGAATTTGGTTTGCGACATGTATGTGATGGCATTTTTCCCGCGTGCATGTGATGTTGTCGACTGGTGGGTTCAGAAGGGGTTGGCTGACGAGTTCGTGGGTGTCGAGAAGCCCACTGGCGAAGAGTACCATATTGAGGAGGTTTCCGAGGACCGCCGCCCATTTAAATGCGTGCTCGATGTAGGGATAGTTTCTACCACCGTAGGTGCGTCCATTTTACTGTAGCATATGGCTCCGCCGTTTGTTTCCTTTAGAGCGCCTGTGTCGTGCGCACGAGCAAACAAGTTGCTGGCTTTTCTGTCGTTTTCCAGGCAATCGGGTCTTCGGTGCGATGAAGGGGGCGTGCGATGGAGGGCTTCACATCCCCCACAGCAACAAACGCTTCCCTGGCTTTACGAAGGGCGAAGAAGGTGCTGAGGACTCGTACAATCCAGAGGCCCACCGTGCGCGTATTTACGGGTTGCATGTTGCCGAGTATATGCGCACGCTTAAGGAGGAGGATCCCGAAAGGTACCAATNCGTATTTACGGGTTGCATGTTGCCGAGTATATGCGCACGCTTAAGGAGGAGGATCCCGAAAGGTACCAATCGCAGTTCTCTGCCTACATCCGCAACAAAATAGACGCCGACAGCATCGAGAAGATGTATCAGGAAGCATTCCAGAAGATCCGTGCCAACCCAGATCCGGTAAAGAAGGAGGCAAGAGAAGTTAAGAGAGTCCGCCAGGGTGCCATGATCAAGACTGCCAAGTCACAGTACGTACGCAATGTCAAGATCGACAAGGAGACAAGGAAGGAGCGCGTCTTGAAGAAGGTGAGGACTTTATCAAATCTCGATTGCAGCCGCTAGTGGTCTCTCCGTCATCGTCTTTTTTTTTTTCTCGCTTCTCGCGGTATGCATCTGGTTGTGCTGTGAGTGTTTTAATGCTTGTCCACAGATACAAATGGTGGCGGAGAAGATGGCAGAGGATGAGTAGTTGCTCTCGACATGTGCAACGTCGCTGCGCTTACGTGCAGCTTAAGGGAAACAGTGCTGCACTTTGGGCAGTTGGCTGACCGCTGCTCTCGAGTTTCGCAAGGTGGTCACGATTGCACTGTTTTTCAAGCTAACTTCGACTCATAAGTTTCTCAGACTTTGCTGATGCGCTGATTGCCGCTGGTCGAATGCTAGTCTCCTATGCTTTGCATTAGTTTTTAGTTGCGAAGAATGCAGTGCACCAGTTAGGGAGTCTTCATGATCTCCAAGGTAAACTGTATTGGTTGCGGGCTGCTCAGTCTGAAGGTACCAGGTAACACCTCCAGTATCTCCCCCGCGTGCTGTCTTCGTGCCGTGGGCGGTCGTGTGGTAGGTGAGATGAAATTACTGCGGACGATGCATAGTTGAATGCAAGCGCGCCGAGTGAGGCACTCTGCTTGGATTCTGGAACGTTCCGTGCACACTTCTGCAGTTGCGCAATTCACGCAGCTTTCCAAAGATGCAGCTGGTGATGATTGTTGAGCTCTTGACACCTCTTGATAGCACTTTTAAAGTGCACTGTTCTGTAAACTCAACATCCAGGACTGATCAAAGCTGCTTGTTAAACGTTGTGGAGTCCGTATCCAGGCAGCAGCTCCATTTCCGTGCGCCAGCTGCCAGCTGCTATCTGTTCGCTGCACGCTAATATGTGTTCCGCAACCTCCAAGCCTTGGCGAGTGCTCCAAGCCTGTCTTGCTCAACGATGCGATGACGATAAACTTCTTTCCCCATCGGAAGCGCCTTAACGCTAGAAAGGAGATGGCGAACGATTTCGAAACTGTTTCTGAGC